AACAAAAAAATCCCATATACCACTGCAACAAAAAAATTAAGATACCTAGGAATAAATTTAACTAAGGAGGTAAAAGACACAAACTCAGAAAACTACAGAACATTGAAAAAAGAGATAGAGGAAGATATAAACAAATGGAAGAAAATACCGTGTTCATGACTGGTAGCATCAACAACATTAAAATGTCCATACTAACGCCCTCAAAAAAAAATTAAAAAAATAAAATGTCCATACTACTCAAAACAATCTATAGATTCAATGCAATCGCCATTAAAATACCAATGGCGTATTTCACAGACCTAGAATAAACCCTCCAAAAATTCATTTGGAATTAAAAATGACCCCGAATAGCCACCACACTACTGAGAAATGAGGAAATGAAGTTGGAGGGATCACAATACTAGACATCAAGCTTTATTACAAAGCCACTGTTCTCAAAACTGCCTGGTACTGGCACAAGAACAGACATATAGACCAATAGAACAGAACAGAGAACCCAGTAATTGACCAAAGCCATTAAGCTCAGTTAGTATTTGATAAAGGAGGCAAGAGCATACAATGGAGTTAAGACAGTCTCTTCAATAAGTGGTGTTGGGAAAGTTGGACAGAAACATGCAAAAAATGAAACTAGACCACGAACTTACACCGTACACAAGAATAAACTCAAAATGGATAAAGGACTTAAATGTAAGTTATGAAACAAACAAACAAAATCTTGAAAGAAGCCATAGGCAGCAAAATCTCAGACAGTCTCTCATAGCAGTATGTTTACTGATAAATCTCCTAGGTCAAAGGAAACTAAGGAGAAAATAAACAAATGGGACTACATCAAAATAAAAGTTTTGCACAGCAAAAGAAACCATCAAGAAAACAAGAGAGCCCACTGCTTGGGAGAACATCTATATATATAAAAGCCTAAGCGACCATTACAACCAGTTGACCAAACAACTATGATGTAAACTGACCACCAGTTTGCAGATGCTCAACACAGGAGCTGTCCCCTGGTTGTCAGTGCACTCGCACAGCCAACCTCCCGTGGTCCCTCCCCGC